CAGTGGGTAATAGACATGGAGCAACATGACGGAGAAGTGTATACTGAGAAAAATCAAAGTACACAAAACACAAAGTTCTGAAGTATTCACAGGATCTTCCCTTGCCAGACTAGATACAAAACATTTTTATTTGAAACCAGAGCTAACACAGTTTCGCAGGCATATTGAAAATGCTTTTCATCTAATTTAAAAACCTATTCACTGAAATCTCCCAGAGTTAAATGTTTGTAAATTCATACTGATTTACTAAATAAAAGACATAAGTTATTTCCACACAGATAAGACCACTACCCTTATCAAATGTAGTTAGACATAATAAGAAATATAACTCCACTAAACTTATCCTTTCAAGACTCTCACCTTGATTTTTTATAGAAAACAAAACATGGGAGATTAGTTGAATCTGCTTGTTTCTATGTTTGACCATTCATGGGTATGTTTTGAAGAATAGTACAAGTAAATGCGGCTTAAAATGAGATAAATTTCTAGTATTTAAGAAGGCTGTGTTAATGAAAGAAGTGTTATTATATAGTTCAGTACCCAGGGCTGAACTTCTGTAAATTTTATTTATCATCAACAGCTATTTAGTGCACTCAATGCTACATCTTTTTTTCTCCAAATAGTTTTGGCCTGAAATAAACTCTACTTAACTTTTCTTGCCAGTGGAATTTAAAAAAGGAAAAGAAGAGGAACAGAAAGGATAGCATGTAAACAATCATATTTTGAGAAGCTAGAACATATGAACCTATTTTGTCTTCCTGTTCACCTTATACCCTCAGTATCTAGCACAGTCCTGGTACATAGTAAATTCTCAGTAAATGGTTGTTCAAAAATACTTATTTCACATTTAAATCATTAACTATTTATTTCACCCTCTACCATATTTCAGAGAAAAATACTACTGCTGCTAGAGGAAAGCAAAGTCATTTTTAATTGAGGTTTAGAAGCTTTTAACCTCTGGTGCAATTTCTTTGTTAATTCCTGGTCTAAACACTATAAGGCTTAGCAGTATCTCTTTGCCATATAGCTACAACACTGGGTTAGAGCCAAACGCTTCAGAGGCCAAGATACCCCAAACCACCAAAGTGTTATCAGTTTCTAGAAATGTTGATTCATAAGATTCATGGTGAGAATCCTAGTCCCAAAGAGCATTCTTATGCAAACTTTACTAAGCTGTCCAACTCAATTGACATTAAAGTTATGTCAATATAAGTTATTCAGAAGATCATTTAAACCCAGAAAACAACTTAACATCTAAAGTATGCATATGACTGAAGGAAATATGAGCTTTGCATCTTCTTGCTTTGTCCAAGTCTTCAGGCACTGGAGGCCACCTATGGCAACCGGGTCAATTTTGCTGAGAAGACAGGTTAAAAACCCCAGTTTGAGGTTTAACTTTATGGTCTGTCCATCCAAAATGTTATATTAAACTTTATAACTACAAAATCTCTATTCACTTTCAGTATTAAAACAGTCCGACATCATAATTTATTACTGATTGTATTACCATTTGTTCATTTCCTCTGGTTATAAAGTTTTGTGGGGATGAACATTATCTTACATTTATGTTTCATATTTGGAACATTATATTGATCTATCTCCAGAACTAATTTAAACTGGCATCTGAGATTCTTTGTATCTTCTTTTTTAATGATCATGAAATGTTATTCACCTTTGAAAGATATTTTTTGAGACATTTTAAACTAATTATTCCTTCTATAGAGAACAGATATTCAATAGGTGCATATTCTTCCAAAGTCATAATCACCTACTATTCTGAAACAGAATACAATTCTACTGGAATCACATGACCAGTACCTTTTAGTAAAGCTCCTGCAAATGTATTAACCAATATTATCACTTACTAGTTTATCTTAACACTTATATGAAGTGACTGATGAATGTTAAAATTCATAATATGGATTCTACCTTTTTAAGATAAAAAAACTGAAGAGAGAGAGATTGCATTATTAATTGTAAAACAGAGCAAGAAGTTTAGACAACACAAATTTAATCTAGTGCTTACAGTACTGAAATCAAATTAAAATGCGGAGTACTCACAGCTTCCAAATCTGGAGACTATTTGCATCTTCAATTTCCAACTACTTCCAAGACCTGCAAGGAAGCATGGCAAATAAAAATCTGGGAATGATTTTTCAGTAGGCAGTATATATATGTGACTTTTGCTTTTTTAATGTCCACTTTTAAATTTTTACGACTATATTAACTTTTTAAATTATAATTCAATATTGTGTGTGCATGGCTAGAGTGAAAAGCAACAGTCACCTTCTCTGCACCCACTGGCACTAACAGATTAGAGGAAGAACTTCAAAATGGCAACCATCAGCACTGCTCTCGGCAAGGTGGCCTGAGATTGCAAAATTGCTCCTACCGGTGTCTTAGTCCACAGGTAGTATCCCAATTGCTTTACACACCTCCAGAAGATGCTTAAAGATCAGGAAGTGGATCCTCTTCACCGATGGCCCATGAACTTTTTAATCTGGTGCTTTGTTTTTCCCTTGTCAAGAGTCCCACCTCTGCCTCTTCTACCCATCTCAATGCTGTCCTCTTACCCTTTGTTGTGGAGGCTCTGTTCATTCAGCTTTCAGATCCCTTTCCGAGGGAATAATACTCCATTGGAACTACTCCACATGGAGTTGCAGATTTGCTGTATCCATGGAAAAAGGTGAGTTCAGGACCTTCCTGCACTGCCATTTTGAGTGCTCTTAGAGGCTGAGTCCCTTACTTTTCTTCAAAGCAGAGCAGCTCCACCCTCAGCTCTTGCATAGACATGACTGCATCTCATTTAATCCTACACCTTTAATTAATTAACCACTCTCCATCACTTTCTGCCTTCTAGAAATTTGTTAAAAATTTCTTCTCCACTCATGGCTTTTGTACCATTCTCTTTGTTTTGACCCCCACCCCCACATTTTACTCCTTTACCATCATTTTGATGAGATATTACAAAACAAAGGCAATAAAAGCACTATCATCTTATGTCAGTTACTTTTCATATTTCACCTACATTTAATATTTATATTTTGTGAAATAATTTATTGTTCACGCCTAAGGAGGAAGCCACATATTTTACTTTGTGGTGTTTTCTTAGTAAAAGGGATGTCTTTCTATCTATCTCAATGTACTTATACTTTAAATTTTCATGCACTTATCATCTGTGCCTTTACAAATATTTATGTAAGCCACCATTAAAGATTATATAACTTTCACTTACTGAGTTCATTCAGAGAATACATTCAACTTATACTCTTTCAGGATACATTTGGGGCTTCCCACGTGGTGCCATGGTAAAGAATCTGCCTGCAATGTGGGAGACCTAGGTTCATTCCCTTGGTCAGGAAGATCCCCTGGAGTAGGAGATGACAACCCTCTCCAGTATTCTTGATTGGAAAATGTCATGGACAGAGGAGCCTGGCCGGCTACAGTCCATGGGGTTGCAAAGAGTCAGACATGACTAAGCACAACACAGCCCAGGATATATTTACCTTTTCCTAGTTCAAACTGATACTGTTTTACTCACATACTGTTCATGAGTTTATACCATCTTGAGCTAATAGGTTTAACCAACGATCTTGCTATTCAATATAGATAATGCCACTCCACTTCTGATTGGCTCAGTTTATCCAGTCTTGGGAAATTATAAAGTAATTCATTTATATAAAATATACAAAGATGCTATCACATCGAGTTTTCTCAAAAAAAAAAAATATCTTCAGCTTAGACTTTATAAAAAGCTGAAGATTACTTACTATGTAGTTATCAGTGAAGTAATAGAACAAAATATAATGTTATTATTTATCATCTTTCTAGCTGCATGCTTAGTATTCTGCCACTTATAAATTATTCTTATGAGGAACATACATAGAGAAAAATTAGCCAATATAAGCCCTAAGCTACAATTAGTTTTGCCCTTTATTTGCTTTGAGGATCTATTTTTTTCTTTCCAAACACACAGGAGCCAACAGGTACTAAGGAGAATTTTATCAATTCTAAGGACAGGCAGAGGTGGATAAACAGCATGGGCCATATAGAACAATTTTTTAAGTGGAAAAAAAGAACAGAAAAGAAAAAGTGATATAAATGGATAGGAAATAATATTTCTTCATTTAGACCAAAGTCAAAATTGATAGACACTCAGAATGTGTATGATAAATCACTTTTAAATTTTGCTGTTAAAAAAAAATTCACAAAATACCTGGGTTCCTTTTTGGTTTAGACTTTGGCACTTAAGATGTCCAAGCTCTTCCTAAGATTTTATTCATAACTAGAGTGATAAAAAGTATAATTTTTCAACAAAGTCATTAATTTTTATCATTTATTATATCAATTGATACTCTGTACCTTTCATGGCGTGGGACTATAGGGTCTGGGGGCTTGACTTTTGAGGGATTTTTTTTCCCTTGTACGAAAGCTTAGGGCTGCTCTACCAGACCTAAAGGCGTTTTACCCTTCAAAACTTCAGGCAGACTGTGATTACAGCTTTATTATTATATCCTATAAAAATAACTTTCACAGGAGTTCCTCATTTACCAGTAGAAACTGAAAATCAGCTTATAGAATTCGTTCTGGCTTACAAAAGTAGTCCAAAGTCTCAAAGCATGAGGAGAGAGGGTCAGGTAAGCGGAAGCTGAGCTGAAGATCAGGTAAACAGGTCCATGGATAGTTTAACTATCTGATTCAGCAGTTGAATTGGTAAAATGATAATGACTTTCTTCATTTATTCCTGTCCAGATTATAGAAATAATTTCCCATTTTAAAACTCCACACTTTGGATTTACAGCACTGAAAAAGCCACTACTTGTGAGTCAAATTATAGTTAAATCTTAGCACCCAACATGAATGATCATTTATTTAGAATAAGTGATATTAATTCTCTTTGTTTTGTTTTAGGATTCATTTCTTTGCTGTTGGTGTAAATATGTGTGTTGGAATCATTGGCCACTTTCACCCAACATGTGTTTATATTACTCTATTTTCAGCCTGTGGCAAACTGATGAAAATCACAGGCCCAGTTACAGTCAAGACATCCGGGACCCGGTTTGGTGCTTGGATGACAGACCCTTTAGCATCCGAGAAAAATAACAGGGTATGTTGCTTCCTCAAATGCCTCTGCTTAGAATTATGTTTTATTAAACTTTACGTCTACTAGACTATTCACTTGTTCTCAAGGACATCAATTTCTACTTGAAAAGTACTATACTGTTTGCAAATATCTTCAGCTTGATAATATTAACATATCCACAGATATATGGCAAACTCACTTTAGTAAAATGTTCTATCCTATAATTTATCAGTACAGTGAGCCTAATTTTTACTGGTTTTGGACCTGTTTTATGCTTTTAAATGGCTAATTATAAGTGGATAAAATTCTCCGTATACTCCTTCTATAATTTGTTCCTTAGTGTTAAAAAAAAGAAAAAAACATGATATAAGTAAAAATCTCAAGAGTTAACCAATTCACTAAACAAGCCATATATTCCTAGAATCTAGGGGTAATTTTAAAGAAAACAGTGCTAAAACTTTAAGGGTATCTGGCAATATCTGTATTAAGAGAATCAACATATTAGAAACATACTGTGGCTCTATTAACATTCTATTACTGAATTCAGTATGCATTAGGATTCTCAAGAGTTATATCCAAACAAGTTATATCCAATTAAGTTTAGTAGCTTAGTTAGTAAAATTATTTCATTAAAAGGTGATTGTACCTATAAGCTGATCCAATGAACAATTATTACTAGAAGGTTCTGTGGTATCCATAAAAGGAAAATAAGTTGAATGTACAAAATTAGACCATATATTTTTCAGAGCAAGGGAAGGAATAAACAAATTTTCCAAAATGTGATGATTTTTGCAATTATCACTAATCAAGTTGATCAGGTAAATGAACAAAGTGATGTGTTTTGCATTGATATATGGTTCACTCAGTGATAAGCACCAAATGATCGAAAACTTTAAAAACAACTAAAGAAGAAAGGACAAAAAAGCAAATCAGCTTCAAGGCAGTACATTATTCCTTTCCATGTAGGCCATGCCACTGTTTTTTGTCAAAGTCTGCAGTACTATCACACTGCAGCAGATAAGTGGAAAGAGAACATTCCAGAGCATGACAATATTAATATGTCCTAATTCTTAGTGTCTTTATTTTGGAATTCTCAAAAAAGTATATAATTTAATTATTCCACTTTCCCCCTTTTTTCCAGGTCTGGTACATGGACAGTTATACCAACAATAAAATTGTCCGTGAGTACAAATCAATTGCTGACTTTGTCAGTGGCGCTGAATCAAGAACATACAACCTCCCTTTCAAGTGGGCAGGAACTAACCATGTCGTCTACAATGGCTCACTCTATTTTAACAAGTATCAGAGTAACATCATCATCAAATACAGCTTTGATATGGGGAGAGTACTTGCCCAACGAAGCCTGGAATATGCTGGTTTTCACAACGTTTACCCTTACACATGGGGTGGGTTCTCTGACATCGACTTAATGGCTGATGAAATCGGGCTGTGGGCTGTGTATGCAACTAACCAGAATGCAGGCAATATTGTCATCAGCCAACTTAACCAAGATACACTGGAGGTGATGAAGAGCTGGAACACTGGCTATCCCAAGAGAAGTGCAGGGGAATCCTTCATGATCTGTGGGACACTGTATGTCACCAACTCCCACTTAACGGGAGCCAAGGTGTATTACTCCTACTCCACCAAAACCTCCACATATGAGTACACGGACATTCCCTTTCATAACCAGTACTTTCACATATCCATGCTTGACTACAATGCAAGAGATAGAGCTCTTTACGCCTGGAACAATGGTCACCAGGTCCTATTCAATGTCACCCTTTTCCACATCATTAAGACTGAGGATGACACATAAGCAAATGTAATTTGTTGTCATCAGTGGCATTTGTGATCAACTCTATAGGACCCCTTCTGTTTTCTCTTTATTATAACGTTCATCATTTCTCCAAAGCATTTTTTTATTATAAAGTTGATGTTTCAAAAAACATCTGAACTTATATAAATTAACCTGTTGGAAACACATCTTAACTTAATTTACAAGGCCTATCATGTCCTTGTCATAAAAAACACTAAAAAGAGCTTAAGTGGCTAAAGTCATACTTTTACAAAAGATTAATGATCTGCCTTATATTAGAGTCAGAGATTAATGGTGGCTTAAATGCATGAATGTCTTTTTTTTTTTTAATCTCTCATTTTTTACTGTGTTTTGCTCCACATCAGAAAATATTTTGGTAGGAATTAGGGGAGAAAACACTTTCCCCTCATTTATTTCTAAAACAGATTTAAAGATCTTATTTATATGAGAAAATAATATTAATCATTTTGCTGTTATACAATTCTCTGATGCGGTGCTGTACAGTCATTTTTAAATCTCTTGCTAACACTTTATTGGCAATACGTATTTCTACCATTGTAACCACCATTGTGCAATTGTATCTCTTCACTTCTGTGAAAGTAATATTTTTTTATAAAATACACTGAAGTTTAATCTCAGTAATCATTATAGGTCACTTTTCAAGAGTGGTCAAGAAAGAAGTATCTTCTCAACCTACTCCTTTACATAAGCATTATAAACTAAAAAGAAAATCAAACCAGATCTCTTACATAGAGTCTTTATTTTACCCCAAGTTTATTGGATCACTGACATGGAATCCTAAAACTGACTCAGTAAGGATGAGCTGCTCTGTTCACTCCACTGGAAGCAACACATATAGTTGCTTGCAAAGATGCAGCTTGGTCACAACTGGACTTGATTCTACTCATTTATTACACATTCAAATTTTGTTCTTATATAATTGAGTATATTAATGTTTTAACTTAAATTTTACATAAAACTGGCAATAATTAACTCCTTATGCCAGGATTCTAAAAGTACATGAAGCACATATGAAAACTCTTAAAATTAAATTTTTGTAATGTCATCTAGACTCATAAATTCTGAAGAGCTGTTGGCAAGATTTGTACAAAAGAAAATTGTGGGAAAACTTGGGAGTTGCCCAAGTTAAATGTTTAAATAATCAATTCAGAACAGAAGATGGGAAGACAACGCCTTGTTGCCCTGATTCATTGTGTGCAGAAGTGGTGTAACCAAAAAAACAGAGCTTTAATAATATCTTATGTTAATAACACCAAAAACATATAATCAATATATATGAAACATGTCACTGTGTTTGGATGTACTTTCTACATACTTAAGGCAGTTTTATGGAAACCAGTGTGGGTTGGTTTTACAATTTAGAAAAGTATATTCTATAATAAACAATATATAACTTAAATTGTTATAAGTGTTTAGTTTCACATATACATAATATCATCATTTCCTTTGTAAAGTAAGGATATAATAAATCAGATAAGGCATTGTATAAAGAAATAATTCTTAAGAGTAATTCATTTCAAATGTCACAAGTAAAATATCATTCTCAAATATCTTACCATTAAAATTTTAGGATGAAAACTCAATCTTGAAATTGTTAAAATTTAACAATTTATTTTTTTAACCTACAAAAAGATATTAGCATGATTTAATGACCATTCTGTGTTCTTTTGCAATGCTGTCTTCTCTTTGAAACATTTACATATGTTCTCCTCTGCTTTTGAGAGTTAGAAAATTTAGGGGACTCACTTGTCATTGTACACACACTACAAAAATATCCAGCCAATATTTTGTACATCAAGAGTTTGTATGAAGAAAGTCAATTTCAGAAATGAATGAACTTTTTGTAGATGGCCTCTAGTGGATATCTGGGTCTCCATTACTTTCAAAGAAATAATGTAATATAATATCATTTAAATTCAAAACCTGGATGTTCACAGCTTTTTTGTGAGATGTACAGCTTGTAAAGCACTTTATTGTTTTCTATGGAAGAGTTCATCGCCATATCCAATTATAGTGTATGTGCTGCTAGAGCAGGCACAGATTTTACTACTGTCACTACAATGGGGGTAATATAGGTTTAAAAATGTGATTTGCATTAAACACTTAGTTTAAAAGTGTTTTCTTAATAAATTATCAGTTTGTGCCTGAAATAAATAAGAACTTACTCTAATCACTGTTTTTTTTAATGTCCAACAAATAAATTTTATGAGGGAAACACTGACTATTTTAAAATCACACTTGTTATTCAATCAGCAGAGAAATCCAAGCTCAGAAAGTTTTAATTCTAAGTAAACTGTATAACTGGTATTTTTCTGAATTAACCAGATCATTAACAAACATCTATGTCATTTAAATAATAATATGATCATGGCCTGACTGTGTTTGTGTGACATTTGTTTTTGTGGTACTTGAATCATAATACTTACTACCTGCATCTGCACTTACATCTATGCATTCAGAAAATGACAGTGTGTTAGAGCATTACCAATATGTAGAGATAAAAAAGAAAAAGAAAATAATAAGTGCCCATATGCAACATTTCATATAGTGATAAGGTTGTGATAAGATTTATCATGAACTCAAAATCTCTATGGTTCCTATCACCATATTTATATATATACTTCATCTTTATAATTCAAAGTATTTTCTCTGATGAAATCTTATTTTCATAAAGTCGATTCTTAGTACTATCAAGAAAATAGTCTTCAGATCTGAAAGTTACTATCAAAAGTACAAATATTTCAAACAAGAATTATTTTAAAAGTATAAATATAAAATTGTACTTATGTTCATCAACAAATGAAACCAGTTGCTTTTCTACTAAGGTAAATTTTATATGTAATAATCCCTTAGTTTTATTTACTTAAATAGATTTTTTAAAAACCCTATCTCATCTCCTTAGCACTCAGGAGTACCAAATTTTTTCTGCAAAAGCTAAATCTGAATGCAACTGTCAGCAAACTTAAAAGTATCCCTTCAAGTTAGAACAAATACAAAAAATCATCAACGCTGTATAGTTTCTAAAAGCCAAGCTTTCTAAAAATATGTATACTTTTAAAAAAGAATAAAAAGTGGCACTCTTTTGGTAGAAACCAACGTAATACTGTAAAGCAATTATCCTTTAATTAAAAATAAATAAATTTAAAAATGGCATCTTGCTAATTTGACAAGGTAGCTATGATTGTGCACTTCACTAAATGTACAATTTGAGTTCTTATATGACAATATAAAATAATGTCAGTTTATAGATAAAGCATATTTTTCCTCTCCATCATCACATGATAAGTGGACCATGAGAAAAGCTACTATAAAGTGGTCTACCTAGCACAATACACAAGGAACAGTAATTAAAACTTAGATGCTGTAGGATGACACAAAGCCTTAATCTCGGATTTCTCATAGCTACAAACAATCAATTCTAGAAAGGCTCAGAGGCACTGCATATCATTCAGTTTAGTGGGCTGTATCCACACTAAAATCTAGATCATGGAATTGTTTCTAAAATTGAGTAAGATCAGCATAAATCTCTTAGCTGATAGTTTGTCATAATCAATGACACTTCAGAAAAGGTCCTGAGCTTAATAAAATGTGTTCTGTTGAATTGTTGAACTTCTACCAGAAAAAAACACAATGAAAACATTAGCTTGTGGAGGAAAAACCAACTTCACCAAACTTTTAGTTAATAACTATAAATGATGAACTCCATGGATGGCAATCTCTTGAACAAAGAACAGAAAAGTGTTCACCACATAACCAATCAGAAGGAAATCCTCTGCAAACTGACTTTACCAGGCTGACTTTTTCTGAATCATACCTGAAAATTATGTGATATCCCTCTTCATCAGGTTTAGAAGAATTTAATCATGTTTGCAGTCTGCCTTGTCTCCAAAATATCAAACTAACTGACAGAAAACATATCCTCTTTGAAGCTCAGTTCACTGATTGCTATATAAGTTTTACAAGTATAAATTATTATTATTGAACATGACTTGAAAATAATATAAAAAGAACATAAAGTTGTACCTTGTCATGCATTCCTAGTACTTTCATAATGCTAACCATCTTAAAACATCACTCGTAGTTATAGATATGAAGCAATATGGTCAATATGAACTCGTTCTCAGGAAGAGAACTGCAAGAAATCTGCTGGTAAATCATACTCATCTACGTAGTTCAGTACCAAGCTACATCCCTAAGCTATTTGTTGTTCAGTTCCTCAGTCACATCCAACACTTTGCAACCACATGGACTGCAGCACGCAGGCTTCCCTGTCCTTCACCATCTCCCAGAGCTTGCTCAAACTCTGGGAATTTGTATATTGAGTCAGTGATGCCATCCAACCATCTCATCCTCTGTCGTTCCCTTCTCTTCCTGCTTTCAATCTTTCCTAGCATCAGGGTCTTCTCTATTAAGTCAGCTCTTTGCATCAGGTGGCCAAAGTATTGGAGCTTCAGTTTCATCATCAGTACTTCCAATGAAAATTCAGAGTTGATTTCCTTTAGGATTGACTGGTTTGATCTCCTTGTAGTTCAAGCGACTCTCAAGAGTCTTATCCAAGACTACAGTTCAAAAGCATCAATGATTTGGCATTCAGCCATCTTTATGGTCCAAATCTCACATACTGGAAAAACCGTAGCTTTGACTATGCAGACCTTGGCAGGCAAAGTAATGTCTCTGCTTTTTAATAGGCTGTCTAGATTTGTCAAAGCTTTTCTTCCAAGGAGCAAGTGATACCAAGGGAACATTTCATGCAAAATACAAAAGTAGGCACAATAAAGGACAGAAATGGTATGGACTTAACAGAAGCAGACGATATTAAGAAGAGGTAGTAAAAATATATGGAAGAACTATACAAAAAAATCTAAATGACCTGGATAACCTTGTTGGTATGATTAATCACCTAGAGCCAGACATCCTAGAATGCAAAGTCAAGCAGGCCTTAGGAAGCATCACTATAATCAAAGCTAGTGGAAGTGATA